CAGCAGACAAACCAACCTCAGCACCTTCTACAAACAGCAGCAGCACTTGTGCTTATGAAGAACATTAGGAACACAGGGGATTCCTTACCTCTGCCCTAATGTTTGAACAGCACCATCCAAGGACACCAGAAATCAAGGCAGACTTGGAGGACAATCCTTGGGGATGTCATCACAGTAGACTGACTGCCAAATGAGATGGCACAAATCAGCAAGTGGTGAAAAAAGGAAAAGAGAGACAATGAGCTCAAACTGCTCATTAGCAAACCCTCCCAAGCGTGTGCACGCGAGCGCGCGCGCACACACACACACACACACACACACGCACTGGTTCCATAACTTTCCACCTTCTAGAAGATGTCCTGGGCTTTGAAACATCCATATATATATATATATATATATATATATATATATATATACACTAAATTTTTTCTTTTCAGAAAGCTAAAATGATATGCAGTTGTAGGAAGCAACACATAGACTTATGTGCACTTTATCCAGTTTCTCCTAAAGAAAACATCTGGCCAAACTACAGTATAATATGACAATAAGAATATTTATATTGATAGTCAGATACAGAAAATATCCATCACCACAGGGGTCCCTATTGTTGCCCTCTTATAGCCACGTATAAGACAACCACTAATCTGTTCTCTCTATATATAAGCTGTCATTTCAAGAATATTACAAAATTTGTGGGACCATGTACATCTAACTGTACAGTTACACAGTGTATGGAACCTTTAGCAATTGGCATTTTTTCCTTCATAATTCTCTGGGGATTCACACAGGACATTGACTGTATAATTGGTTCATTCCTTCTTATTGCTAAGTGTTGTGCCATGGCCCATCTTTAAAATTTGCTTCAAAATTATAGTTGACATATAATAACATATTACTTTTAGCATACAACACAATGCTTAGACATTTATATACCTTACAAAGTGATGACCACAATAAGTACCTACCTAGCACCACCTATCATTACTAGAATTACTATTATTGACTAAATTCCCAATGCTATACTCTACATCACTGTGACTGTTTTTATAACTGGCAGTTTGTACTTCTGAATACAGTTCAGCATTAAAAAACAAAAAACAAAAACAAACTCATTAAAACATGAGTGAGGACCTGAACAGACATTTCTCCAAAGACACTCAGATGACCAACAGACATGAAAAGATGATCAACATCACTGATCACCAGGGAAATGCAAATCAAAACCACAGTGAGCTATCACCTCACACCAGTTAGAAGGACCTCTATGTTGGCCAGAATGTGGAGAAAAGGAACCCTCCTGCACTGGTGGTGGGATTGTAAAATGGCGGAACCACTATGGGAAATAGTAAGGATTTTCCTCGAAAAATTAAAACTGAAATTACCATACAACCCACACTTCCACTTTGGGGAATTTATTTGAAAACACTATTTCAAAAAGATAAACAAACCCTGTAGCATTATTTGCAATAGCTAAAATACAAACCTTCACTTTTTAACCTGGATATCTACCTGGGCAGAAAGCAGGGCGGGCCAGCGTTCTCCACAGCGGCCGGCCTGGTGTCGCTCCAACCCGAGGGGAGGAGAGGGAGCGGGCACAAGGCGGGGCCGGGGCGGGGCCAGGGGCACTGCGGCGGCGGAGCGTCGCCGCGATGGGGTAGTGGGTGGGGTGGGGCGGGGCTGGGGGGCGGAACGGCCCTTGGACCTGGCGGGGTGGGGCGGGCTCGGGAGCGGAGCCCTGGGAGGAGCCAGGGGCCGGGCAGCCGGGCCAGGCCTTGTGCAACCGCAGTTCCCTGGCCGCTGGGTCGGGCAGAGCGGGCGGTCTGTCCTCGCCTGCAGCTGCGAGTGCGCGGCCCCGGCGCCGGAGCCTGGCGGGGACGCCCGGAGCCCCCTCGCCCACGAGGGTTCGGCCCTGACGCCTCTTTCCCGGGCGCCCGCTTCGGGAGGGTGAGTGCCTCCGCTGGCCGTGGACCCGGGGCTTGGCCGGCCAGTTCCCCGATCCCCGCGCTCCCTGGGCGGGGATGCCGGCTGGAACGGTCTCTGCCGATGTGCCCGTCCCAGCCAGAGTGGACTCCCTGGTCCCTGTTGACCTTTTCAAAATCAGGAATTTAAGGCCTCTTCCTAAATCCTGCCATATGCAGGGCCTGGTTATAACAGGCTCCACCAATCTGCTGTCAGCTCTATTACTAGGGGGTGCCCCACAGCCCGCCCTTTGTCCAGTACTTTGTGGCAGTCTGAGACAGAACCTTTAAACATCAGCTTCTTTAACCTCTAATTTCCCTTAAAATATCAGAAAATATATATATACATGAAAAAGGGCATGTATTAAACAACATATGCTTCTAGCAGTGCTGTTTATGGTTCTGGACTTAACCGAAGTGCCCAGCAATTGAGAAACGGTCACAAACGGGCATGCAGACAGCGGTGTAGGTACCTAGTGAAATGCTATCTACCTGGAGCGACAGGCACAGAGCCTGCCAGTGTGTTAAAGAGGCAAAGTGAACACATACAACAGCTTCTGGATACTGATTAAGAAGTACCGTAATGCTCATCAACAATATCAGCCTATTGGGTGCAGTCCATGTAGTTTAGTAACCATGTGGTTCTTTTCTGTTGACCTGGGTAAGTGCATAATTCCTGTCAAAGGGAGAGGATTACTGCTGTGGAGTGGGGTGTAAGGAAGGGGAGTGAGTGGGAATTGAAGGGAACTGGACAGCAAGTCCAAAGCCTGGCTTGAATGTTTTATTTGGAACAAGTAGCTTCCTGAGCCTGTTTCTTATTCTGAAAAACTTGGAGAATTGTAGGAGAGGACTCTCAAACTCAAATGTCTCAAGTGTCCAGGCATGTGATGTGAATATGTAATTGGGCCAAGCAAGCAGTAGAGAATGGTGGTGGCTGAGAATACAGAATACATGTTCTGCTAGAGACATTAAAATTAAATAGTTTCCCCCCAACCAAAATTGTTTTGGGTCTTCATTTTAAGAATTTCAGGGTAAGTTATTATATGAATCTGAAGTGACACTGAACCTTTTAAAAAGTAATCAGGACATATCATTGCTGCTTAAGGCGCTCCAGTGGCTGTCTTGTTATGCTTACAATAAGATCCTCCTCCAGTCCTGCTGACCCCACCCACCTCTGACTGCATTGCTCACCAAAATTCTTTGTTTAGCCACAGGCTAGTCAAACAGGATTTATTGAATATGCTAGGTCACTTCCCATCTCAGGCCTCTTACCAGTACTTGCTATTCTCCCCAGGTTTTACATGGCTTGGTCCTTATCATTCATCTGTGCTTAGATCTTTCTGTCCTAAAATATCAGACACACTGGCCATTTTATCTGCTAAAGTATTTATTTTCTTTCTTCTACTTTCCTTTCTTTTTTTCTTCTTTCTCCCTTCCTTCCTTCCTTCCTTCCTTCCTTCCTTCCTTCCTTCCTTCCTTCCTTCCTTCCTTCCTTCTTTCCTCCCTCCCTCCCTCCCTCCCTCCCTCCCTCCCTCCCTCCCTCCCTCCCTCCCTCCCTTTATTCCTCCCTCCCTTCCTTCCTTGCTTTTTCTTTTTGGGTATCACCATTTATTTAATATATTTTATATTTTTTATAGTGTTACAGATATCTTCCATTCTACTCCTCCTTTGCCTCCTCCTCCCAACCCCTACCCAGCCTCTCAGGTCAGTGTATAAGTTCTTCGGTTTCTCTCTTCTCGTTCCCCCAGTCCCACAGTGAGGTGTGTCAGTCTGTTCCATGCCTCTAAGCTTCGGGTCTTATTTTGTTGGTCAATTCATTTTGTTCATTAAATTCCACAAATATGTGAGATCATGTGATATGTGTCTTTTTCAGATTGGCTTAGTTTACTTAACATAATATTTCCGAGGTCCATCCATGCTGTCCCAAAGAATAAGAGATTCCTCTCTTTTTACAGCTGCATATTATTTCATATATAAATGTCCCACAGCCTTTTTTATCCATTCATTTACTGATGGGCATTTGGGCTGTTTCCAAATCTTAGCTATTGTAAATAATGTTGCTATGAACATAGGGGTGCATATATTCTTTCTGATTGGTGTTTTAGGTTTGTAGGACATAGTCACAGAAGTGGGATTGCTGAGTCCAGAACTATGTTGATTAAGAGTGGTAAAAGCAGTCATCCCTATCTTGTTTCTGTTCTATAGGGAAATGCTTTTAGTTTTTCCCTATTGAATATTATGTTGGCTGTAGGTTTGTCATATTTGGCCTTTATTACATTGAAGTCTGATTCCTCTATTACATTTACTGAGACTTGTTATTAAAAAAAAAGGATGCTGGATTTTGTCAGATGCTTTTTCTACATCTATTGATATGATAATGTGGGGGTTTTTTCTTTCAATTTTTTATGTGCTGTATCAAATTTACTGATTTGTAAATATTATACCAGCCTTGCATTCCTGGAATAAATCCCACTTGATCATGGTGTATGAGTTTTTTCATATATTGCTGGGTTTGATTTGCTAATATTTTGTTGAGGATTTTAGCATTTGTGTTCATCAGGGATATTGGCCTGTGATTTTCTTTCTTTGTAGTGTCTTTGTCTGGCTTTGGAGTTAGGTGACATATTTCAAATACCTTTTGGAAGAAGGCCCCTCAGAGTGATCTTGCTCTTGCTTCTTTCACTGGTTACAATGCCTCCACCAAATTTCCCAGCTCTGATTCTGTTTGCTACAGGGTGGGGCAGTCATTGGTGAACTTTGGAACCCACTTCTTTTTCTGCCCTTTCACCACCTGCTTTTTCATGAAAAGTCTTTTGCTGATCCATTAGCATGTCCTTCCCAAAGTGGTGGTCAGGCCTGGAGCCACTAGTCAACCTCACCTCCTTGTCTCCCCTCCTCCATCAAGTGTTCATTTTTTCTTTTCTAGGTTGCTGAGGCCTGAGGAGAGTGACTACATCTGAAAGCCTGCAGAATCCTTCTGTGCCCAGGATTAAAGCAAACCTCCCTTTTGACCTGTCAGAGAGAAATCCATCTGCCTAGAACATGGCAGGTGACTATTAGCTGTGGGAGAATTAAACTTTTCTAAATTAAAATTTTAATTAAAAGTTGAACATGTTGTCAGAAAAAAATCTAAGTAACAGTGAAGTGTTAAAACATGTTTTGTTTATAACGTGGACCACTACATGGAATTATTTTATTTTTTATTTTCTTACTTATTTTGTTTATTTATTTACTTATTTATTTTTAAAATATATTTTATTGATTTCTTTACAGAAAGGAAGGGAGAGAGATAGAGAGCTAGAAACGTTGATGAGAAACATCGACCAGCTGCCTCTTGCACACCCCCTACTGGGGATGTGCCCGCAACCAATGTACATGCCCCTGACCGGAATTGAACCTGGGACCTTTCAGTCTGCAGACCGACGCTCTACCACTGAGCCAAACCGGTTTCAGCTTATTTTGTTTATTTAAATCCTACCAAAATATAAATTCCTCCAAAGTAAAAGCCACACTTATCCAATCTCTGGGTGATCCCAGGAAATAGTAGATGCTCAATAAATAGTTGTGTGAATGAGCCGCCTGGGGTACCACGGTTAAAAATTCAGCATGACTCCCCATCTTTACTTTTCTCCCTGCTCATGACCCCATCTTTTTTTCTCTCAATAATCTATACATATAAAAGGCTAAGTGTCCATCCAACCAGTAGCTATGACATGCACTGCCCACCAGGGGACAGTTGCTCAATGCAAGAGCTGACATGATGTGCACTGGCCATTTAAAAATAAACAGCACCACGGACCTGGCGCCAATAATCCAGCATTCGGCTTCCCCCAAGTGGGACACTGGCCCTGCCACCATCCTGTAGTGACAACCACCAAATCACATCCAACATGCCAACACCCCATGGCGCAAAATGTGGCCCACAGCCCAGCCCAGCCTGGAAATGGATGCTGTGGGCGCCAGGTCATGATGTCACATAGCAACACCCAGCTTCCTTTCCCTAGCAACTAGCCTCCTTGGAGTTTCTTCAGCCTGGGAACATGGCTTGCTTTATAGACAGGTCCAAACATTTTACACTTTAACCAAATGTTTGTGAAGCATTTTCATGTGCCTCATCTAATTTGATCCTCACAGAAGTCCTAGAGTAGGTAGATATGAGATTCAGTAGAATCCTATTTTCTTTTCCTAGCCAGAAAATGGAGATTTAGAAAGCTAGAAACTTGACCTGACTGAAAAGAAGTAAGAAATGGTGGAACTTGAAAATGGCTTCAGGTTTTCTTACTGCACAGAATATAGTCAAACATTGCTACAGTTAAATATTTTACCCTTTGTTCTCCCTGCATGATCTACAATAATAGTGTTTTGTGTTGATATTTACTGCTCTGTTGCTGACAATTTTCTGAAAGAGAAGTTGGGGTGCTTTACTGGGATGGAAAAAGTTTAGCTAAATCAGAATGCAGTTCTAATTAAGCAAATTTATCCTATATAAAAGGCTAAGTTGACTTGAGCATGTGAAATACATATAAAGCTATCGCTGGTGCCAATCACACGTGTGTGTTTTGATCTGTCATTGTCAATCATAAATTTGGTTGACACTTCAAATATAGAGAAAGGGCAAATAGCGATATTAAAATATTTCTTCCAATAAATTTCCTTTAAATGTGCATGAATTTGTGCATCGGTACACTAGTATAACATAAAAATCCTTTAATTTCAGAACATAACGATACACCGTACGCATGATGCTGTACATTAGGGTTTTCCACCTTGGCACTACTGATATTTTGGGCCAGAAAACCCTTTGTTTTGTGAAGCATCCTTGGGGCTCTGCCTATCAGATGCCAGAAGTTCCCCTGCATCCCTCCTTCATCCTCCTCCCCATGCCCCTCGCCCCCCTGGGGCACCCTCCTACACCCCCTGAATACGCCCAGCCATGAAAACTGAAAATGTCTCCAGTTATTATGAATTATCTCCTGGGAGGCAACACTGTCCCTAGTTGAAAACCATTGGTATAAATATTTTATTTGTATCCATTTTTTCTGTGAAGCCCCCAAGTAGAATCCATTCTTGACCAATGAGTCTGAGAAGTTAAAATTTTTTTTAAAAGTAAATTATTAACTCATGGAATTTAACCTTTATACTCAGTGGAATGCCCCAAAATTGTTTGCTTCAAACTAACCTTTGTGTTTTCTCCTTAAGGACCTAAACAACATTTTAAATCAAAAGTTTAAATATTTGGCCTTAGGCTTTTCCTGGGAAATTTTAAGCAAATCACCAAAGCTGCCTCTTGGGGGGGGGGGGGAAATCAGAGCATAATTTCAAGTTATCTTCTAGCAAGGACAATACTCCTTCAGGAGCTATTGGTAATAGTGGCACAGCCAGGACCCATAAGATCTGACTCTTAAACTTCTTGTCATCTCACCACCAACAGCTGGGTTCCTTACAGCCCTGTCTTCTGTGTAGTAGTACTAGGAGTCCAGTTTTTCATATCCTGTTTAAGTGTGACATTTCGATGGGTCCAGAGGAAAGAAAGCAAGACTGTGTGTCAGTAGCTAACACCTGCCCGCTTAGGGTTAGCACAAAACATGAGTCAGGGAGCTTTTTATTCAGTTTTGGGACAGGGCTTCAACTTCTCTGAGGATAACCAAGCTAGGTTGGGCTTTCAACGAACTTGATTGTGTGAGTTTTGACCAATCATAATTGGACCCATTATAAATTTGCATATTAGTAAACACAAGTACCCAAGGGCTATGCTATAACTGTATTAAAACCTCACCCATTGAAAAGGTTGGTATTTCTTAGCTTTAAATGCTGTAATGCTCCTACACATGTCATTTACATTTTAGTCTTTTTAAATTTTGACAAAGGAGAATTGCTCTTTAAGAAAAATAATTTCTTGCCGAAACCGGTTTGGCTCACTGGATAGAGGATAGGCCTGCAGACTTATAGGTCCCAGGTTGGATTCCAGTCAAAGGCATGTACCTTGTTGCAGGCACATCCCCAGTAGGGGGTGTGCAAGAGGCAGGTGATTGATGATTCTCGCTCATGGATGTTTCTAACTCTCTCCCTCTCTCTTCCTCTCTGTAAAAAAATCAATAAACTATATTAAAAAAAAAAAAAGAAAAGAAAAGAAAAGAAAAATAATTTTTTCTCTGGACTTAGGTAAGAAGGTGCTCATTGTTTATGCGCACCAGGAGCCCCAGTCTTTCAACGGCAGTCTGAAGAAAGTGGCTGTGGAGACCTTGAGCAAGCAGGGCTGCACCGTCACCGTGTCTGACCTCTATGCCATGGACTTTGAGCCGAGAGCCACGGGGAACGATATCACTGGTAAGTCATGGGACACAAGCTGTATCTTTTACAACTTCCTCCTTTGTGTGTATGCATTTTTTTTTTTATTGAGGCACAACTGATAGAACATTAGTTTCAGCTTTACAGTGTAATGATTCAATATTTGTATGTATTGCAAAATGGTGACCACAGTAAGTCCAGTTAACACTCATCACCTCACATAATTACAAATTCCTTTTCCTCATGATGAGCACTTTTAAGGTCCACCATCCAGCTACTTTCCAATGAGCAATATAGGCTTGTTTACTGTAGTCACCATGCTGTACAGAACATCTCCATTTGGCTGCCTGTTTGGATTTGTGTCTATGTATTAGGTAGATCCATTATGACTCCCAGTTTCTAGTGCAGGACAGTGTTAGACACAGAGACTTTCCCTGAGTACCCTCTTTGGAGCTATCAGCAATCCACATCTGGTGGCTCCCTCTGCTGGGGCTTTGTGCCTTTGGAAAAGGACCAGGGTCTGCTTTTCCTAGCCACAGGCTCAAAATGAAATCAGGCAGAGACTGAAAGCCCACAGAGATCTTCCTCTGCGTTCAGTTCAATTGACACTCAAGCTTTATTAGCCACAGGCTATCAACATCAGGGTAGTGATAGAGGCCTTCCAACAAGGTGGGCAACTGCCCTCCCCCAGGCAAAAACTGCAAAGATCTGCCAGAGAAAGATGTCCTCCACAGCGTGAGGTAAAGACTTGGTACACGAAATCAGGGTGCCTGCCTTCTGAGCTCCAACCCCAGAGCACCCCAACTCTGGACTCTCCTCACACAGCTCCAGTCCACTCTGCCCTCCCTATGCCAAAGCCCAAGGTGAGTGGTTGCACAAAAATTTTTTGTATTTGCCTTTTAAGAGTTTGTCTGCATTTCTAGCTGCCTCTCCCTGGCCAACAGCAATCCTACTGCTATTAACAGCCAGATGTTCTATGGGTACCTTTCTCAATTCTGGCTCTCTGTTCTGTGGAGCCCAGATTGGCATTTAGACTCCAGAGTTCTCATTGGGAACTCCCCAAAGCTGAGATATCCCTCCATACCTTCCGCTGCTGTCTGTGAGGGCTCAGCCAGCCCTTTCGCCCCTACACACTTCCTACCAGTCTCTGTGCAGTCTCCACTTTCCATCCTTGGTTATTAAGGTTCTTTCTGTCCTTGGGGACTCTAGGGTTGGAGCTCAGAGTCCTCAATTTCTGGGTGGTTTTTCTGTATTTTAGTAGTATTTTTACTTTGGTCCTGAGAGACTATCAGTGTAGCTTCTACTTATTCTGCCACTATTTTAGAATCCTCCCTTTCCTTATAGATTTTAAAGAGCTCTTTATATATTATAAAATTAGCATTTGGTGTGGGATACAAATTGTAAATACATTTTCACCATTTTTTTTAAACTGGGCTTATGATATATCTTTTTTTTTTTTTTCCATGAAGGATTTTTATTTACTTTTAATAAGTTGATTTTAGTTTTTTTTTATTTATAAATATATTTTATTGATTTTATACAGAGAGGAAGGGAGAGAGAGAGTTAGAAACATCAATGAGAGAGAGTCATCAATCAGCTGCCTCTTGCACACCCCCCACTGGGGACATGCCCGCAACCAAGGTACATGCCCCTGACCGGAATCGAACCCGGGACCCTTCAGTTCCCAAGCCGACACTCTATCAATTGAGCCAAACCGGTCCCGGCTAATTAGTTGATTTTTGATCAAAAGTCAGACTTTCTAAGATCTGGATTTTTCATCATATATATAATCTTTAAGTTTATTTTTTTTTAATTTTATAGTTTCTTGAAGTATTTTTCAGATTCTACTTTTTAAAATTACAAACTGTATCCATTCAAAATTTATTTCAGTGTACTCACTTTCCTCCTCATTTATTGCATGATCTAGCTATTTGCCTGATTTAAAATGCCACCTTCATTGTGATCTAAATTTCCACTTACATTTCACTCTATTTTCAACATAACAAATATTCAAACTTTCAGAGAACAAAATTTTGTGAGTTTATTTGAGCCAAAGTGACAACAATTGCTGGGAAGCAAAATCTCAATGGATTGGGAAAACAACAGTTTTATCACTTATTTTATGCATTAGTATCAAAGGGCAAGATGTAAGGGGGTAACATGAAATTCATTGGTGATGGATTAGGGAGGCTAGAGAAAACAATGCAGAGAAATCTCTAGGAGTGGATAAAAAGTAAACTGGATAGACAAATACTTATTTTACATTAATGGGTATGAGATAGTTAACAGTCAATAGTAAACATGATAACAACAACAATGAGAGAATTTGTGGTCTCTGCCTTGGTGCTGTGGTTGTGCCAGGAGGGGTCAGGAAAAAGGAAATTAACCTTGACATTCCAAAGGCATGTTATGGTAGATGCAAAAAGACAAGAGGCTCAATTAAGGTCAAAATTGACCTTTGTCATAGAAGATTCTAGCCTAGGACATGACCTGCTATTAGTTAGAATGTTTTCATTTCAGACCATCCTATGTGGTTACTTTTGGTGTCTGAGTTTATGAGACCTGCTATGCAGGCCTTTGCTTAGCTTGTCTGGTTAAGTATGTGGCCCCTTTTCATCCACACTACTTTATAGTTTCTCTTCATTTTCTGTCCATGACTTTGTTCATTTTCTACCACACAACTTTATTTATTTTGGCAAATTTAATATGTGATAGAATTAGGCCTTATTTTCTATTTTTATTTTACTTTTCCATTAAATATTTTGAATTGGGTTTCTAGATTCAATAAGTAACCAGATGATATTTTAATTCAGATCCCATTAACTTTACAGATGAGCTCTGTTAGTTGAGTGGAGCATCATCTTGTATGCCAGAAGAGGGTGGGTTTGATTCCTGGTCAGGACATATATACCCAGGTGTGTGTTCAATACCAAGTGGTGGTATGAGCAGGAGGCAACAGATCAATGTTTCACTCTCACATCATTGTTTCTCTCTCTCTCCCTTCCTCCCTCCCTTCCTTCCTCTAAAAAATCAATTAAATAAGTAGATAAATTTACAGGTGAACTTTTATGATGCCAATTCTTTCTATCCGAGAAAATTGTATAGCTTTTCATTTGCTCATGTCTTCTTTATAATCCTCCAGGTCTGTTAACAAGTTTTCTTTATAGAGATCTTGCCTGATTCTTATGTACTGATTTTTGTTTCTCTGTGTAGAAAGGATTAATCTTGGTATATACCTGTGCATCCACGTGTGTGTGTGTGTGTGTGTGTGTGTGTGTGTGTGTGTGTGTGCATCCAGCCATTGCTCATTTACTTACTCTGTGGTAGTTTTCAGGTGATGCTCTGAACCTTTTCAATATACAATCACATAATCTGCAAATAAGGATTTCCACTTTTTAACTATTTAATACCTTAAACTTCCTTTTGTTTGTAATTGCATTAATGAGATCTCCATCTTTAATATTTAGTACTGAAGGATGAATAGCTGACATCCTTGCCTCTTCAGGTCTTTATTTTCTATTAATAAATCAATCAACTATTTTCACATACTACTTTGTACTCAGAGTCAAGTAAGCTTAACTTTCTGGTATGGATTCTTATAGACCTTATTCTAAATATATTTTTAAAGTTTTTTGATGTATATGATTTGAAAATCTATAGACACAGATATAAATATAACCATTGTTACTTGCTTTATTCCCTTAGAGCACTCAGAAGTCCTTTTAAAGATTATGTAACATTCTCTGTTGTTATCAGTGGGGAGCTCTCTGTTTCCTCACCTGTTGCTGGTGGGAATGGGATTTTGGTGATGTCATGAGTAAAGCAGTTTTCTAAGATTTGCATGGGAGAATTAGTGATATTTATTTGCATGGAATTAAACACCTGTGTTTCCATGGTCCCATCTCCATCCATTCCACCAAAGAAAAACTCCAGTCCTGTCTTCAGTGGATTAATCTTGCTATATATAGTAGATTAATCTTGGAAGTTTAAGGTATTAAATACTAGAAAAGTGGAAATCCTTATTTGCAGATTATGTGATTGTATTTTGAAAAGGGACAGAGCATCATCTGAAAACTATCACAGACAGTAAGTAAATGAGCAATGGTTGGATGCACACATACATGTGAATGCAGAGGTATATAGGTACTAAGATTAATCCTCTCATCCCACCAAAGAAAAATTCCAGTCTTGTCTTAACTGGGGCTAGAATTAAAGCCAGTGTTCAGAGTTTCCACACCATATTTGCACAGTCCAATCAAGCATCAGGCTAGCTTAGTCCTGTATCTGTGGGGTCCAGACAGCCATGAGCCATAAGCAGTGCATAGAGTATGGAGGGAACAGGGGCACATGCAAGTAAGCAGGAACAAAGCCAGAGGAACCAGAGAGAAAATTCCTTTGTTTCAGGATTATATATTCCCAAAATTTTCTAAGGCTTGCAGTGGCTCCACCCTTCTGGCCAATTATCTTTGTTCCCAGATTAGATTGACAGGCAAGTACTTTCCCTACATCACATGGACTCACTTGCATGCAACCCCTTCCCTTTTGTCCAGTGTCTTCCCACAGGATCTGCAGGGAATGGGCCAGTGGTTCCCTGGGGAGTGTGAAATTGCAGCTTCCTGATGAAGCAGCCCATACTTCACCCATAAGATGGCCATGCTTATAATGTCTGTCTTTCCCGTTGCTCCTTTCCTATTACTAATAACTAGCTAATGACAATGGTAACAGTATGTATTATAACTTACCCGTTCCTATGTTGATTTATATTTATGTTGCTTCCAACTTTTATTTCAAGCCATGTGTCAGTCTTTCTTTTATGGCTCTGAATTTAGTTCTTGCTTAGAAAGGTGTCTCCACACCCACACTAATAAAAATTATTGCTTTGATATTGTTGGGGGGGAAAAGTTTTACTTTCCCCTTCTAAGTTCTAGTTGATCTAATAATTAAATTGACATGAGACAGATTATCAGGAGAAAAACAAATTAAACTACTATCCTTCCCATGTACATGGGAGAGACTCAGGAAAAGTGAGTAACTCTTCAAAATGGCAGAAGCCAAGCACCTTAAATACCATCTTTAGCTAAAGGCAAAAAATGACGATGGGGTGGGGAGAGGTTACCAGGAAAGGTTACAAGGCTAGGATTGTGCAGATTTAAGTTGAAACCTTCATTGATAACAGTTTCTAGAGATGTAGATGTCTTCCTCTTCCTGGTACAAAGAGGGATTTTCCCTTACACACCTAAGTGCCCTAACACTGCCAACGTAAGAATGTCCATCCTGTAGAAAATTTTACATGTTTACTTGAGCCCAAACTGACAACATTGCCAGGAAGTGTTCTTAGATACTCCTGAGAATGACAGTTTTGCAATTATTTTATGCACTTGCAATTAAAGGGAGAATATAAGTGATACCATCATAATAAACCCAGTTGTTAATAACTGGAATGGAGCAAAGGGGAGACCAAATGGGCATGTCCAGTAAAGTCTGGGTGATATAGTGAAGGTAGTTACCTGTCAATCACACCTGGAAACTGGTCATTTGCCAAAGGAGGCGTGGCCACTGAAAACAGGGAAAATTTTAAGGAACTTAAGCTCCTAAACAAGGGAATTCTCTCTCTTCTCTCTTGCCTCTTGTGCTTGGGGATTCCAGGCTCTTGTGTTCCTGCTCTCTCGAATTCACCCACATGGCTCAGAGCTATGTGGACACCACACAATGGGCTGCTGGACTGGAACTAACCTGTTGTACCAGTCTAGATCCACTTGGAAGGGAAATTTTGGACACTGCCCTTGCTTTTAGCTGCTGAATCACCAGTTATACCTCTTCTATGCCTAGATTAGAAATGGGACTTCAAGAAATGGAAGGATAGCCTTAGCCAGTTTTACTCAGTGGATAGAGGGTTGGTTTGTGGACCAAAGGGTTCTGGGTTTGATTCTATTCAAGGGAACATGCCTGGGTTGCAGGCTCAATCCCAGTGGTGTGTGTGCAAGAGGCAGCCAACCAATGTTTCTCTCTCATCATTGATGTTTCTACCTCTCTCTTCCTCTCCCTTTCTCTCTGAAAGTAATAAAAATATATTTAAAGAAAAGGAAAGTGAGGGATGAAATTCCGTGCAAATAAAACTTTCTACACAGAAAATTCTGCCCCTCCCTTAACTACCTGGAAGACCTGAATTAAAGCCCTTGGCTATAATAAGAGATTAGAGGTAACCTCTTTTGACCAATCTATAGGGCAGTTACCCTCCTATGGTTCCCTGTCAATGAACCTTATGAGATGTGTTTTTTGAATGACAGTGAAATGTAGGTAGATTAAAAGGAGGTGGCAAAGAACAGGTTTTTAAATTGTGAATCTACTGAAGCTCTGTGGGTCCAGTTCTCCTCTTGGCTCTTCTCCAAGCAACCTGGAGCTTGCTGGCTCATCTCCAGACCCCGAGTGTGCGGTGGTTCAAACCTGCACCTTCACCCTCCCACCTCTGCTGCCCACGTAGGGCCCTGGGCATTGAACTAGTCTGTGGCTTCTCTTTAGTCTCAGCTTCCCCTTTGGTAGTTGGGATTTATACCCATCTCACCAGGTGTTGTGAAGTTGGAGAAGATGGAGTGTGTGGAGCACTGCCCCTGACAATGTAAAGGGTAACCTGTGCTTAATACTGATGAATGCCTTCTGATGAGTCATTCTAGTTGACACGAGCCCAACTAAAGTCAGGGATCAAGATATCTCATCTTTTATCTTAGTTGCTGTTGGGTACTACTTTAAGTTCTAGCCCTGAAAAACCTCCTCCCACCCATTGCTACCGTCTCTAGATCCAGAATTCCCCACCCCCAGGCTTGGTCTCATACCCCTGCTGCTATAGGAATTTTTCTAAAAATAAATCGCAGAACTTATTTTTTCTCCTCTAAAACCATATGGCTTCCTATGTGCAGGAAAAGCTTAAGCTTCTTGGGCAAAACTCACCAATCCAGAGGCCCATCTGCAGACATATCACACGCACCACTACTGGCTTTTAACCCCAGCTCCTCAGATGTGCTGACCTGATTGGTAGTCCAGTTCCTTGTGTCTTTTGTCCAGAACCGTGGCCTGCAAACTGTAGCTCGCGAGCCACATGCGGCTCTTTGGCCCCTTGAGTGTGGCTCTTCCACAAAATACCAGGCCTGGGTGAGTCTATTTTGAAGAAGTGGTGTTAGAAGAAATTTAAGTTTAAAAAATGTGGCTCTCAAAAGAAATTTCTATTGTTGTACTGTTGAAATTTGGCACTGTTGACTAATGAGTTTGCCGACCACTTCTCCAGAACATCCTTCCACTTCCTCCTAGTGTTCCAGGCTGCCTGGTGACTCCTGCTCCATCTTGAAAACCTAGTTCACAAAGGCCATTCCCACAGATATGGTTGCTAACCCACCCAAACAGAGCTGGTCACTGTCCCTGAGGGCCACCACTGTACTTCACACACACCCAGAGTTAGACCACATGCATCTTGACTGTGTGACGTGAGGCTGATCTGGCTATAGCACTGGACTGAGCAAGCTGACCAATTATGTTTTGTATGTTAATCATTTGGTTAGTTATTTCACTGCTTTTCCTACTGAACTTTGAGTCCTGGAAGGTAAGGACAGCAGCTTCCTTTCTTTTTGTTCCCTAGCCTGACTGACTACCTGGTTGGGTCTCAGTGACTATCTGGTGACTTGCTTTGGGGAGTCCAGGGTAAATGGCACCAGTGGGATTGGCTGGATGGCTGTGAATATTGCCCTGAGAGTGAGAACATTTGGCCTCTTCCTCTCCAGGTGCTCTCTCTCATCCCGAGGTCTTCAGTTATGGGGTGGAAGTATATGAAGCCTACAAGAAGCAGTCTCTTACCAGTGACATAGTCGCTGAGCAGAAGAAGGTTCAGGAAGCTGATCTAGTGATATTTCAGGTTTGTTTTCTTCTAATTGTTATACTGAATTAGTTTTATTCTATGGATAAACTCTTTCCAAATATTGGATTTCATACTTTTCTAGAAGTGATATTCAGCACATTTGCACTTATTTATGCCTAGCTGGGTAAGAAGAGCTATATAGCCAATATTAGTCATTCAAAATCCTGACCCCCAAGTAAATAGAAGTACTTTGCCTATAGCCCATTGGTCCAAGAAATGTCTGATCAGGCACATCACGTTGCTTTCATTTCCCTCTTTTCCCCACCCAGACAGGCAGGGGCTGGAGAAAAACCAGTGTTATCTACACCAGCAGGCCACCTGCAGCTCCTGACCATTAAGAGGAAAATCTTTTGTTTCCTGCCTCTCAGGGGTTGCCTCATCTGACCACCATCCCTGTATTCATTCACAAATCCTTCCAGAGCCAGGATTCACTTCCTGAAGAACTGGCCCAAGAACTCAACAAGAACTCCCTGCCACAGCTAGGTTTGCAGTCAAGGATATGACCCTAAACTTGGTAGCAATATAACATTTAGTCTTTGGGAATCATTGGGGTAATGGAAATACAAGTCAAAGTACAATAAAGAGGGCCCTGGTCACCTGAGTCTCCTGGACAGAGGGTGGCAAGGGACAGTAGAAACAGAGGCTCTTCTTTGTCTGAGTCTCATCTGCTCTCCGCCTGCTGGCTCTGTCCTCGCTAGCTTCACACCAAGAATGGGAGTTTCTAGATTTAGAATCTCCAAGATGGCACTGATTGGTCCAGATTGTTTGCTCCCCAACCCTGGTGAGGGCAGGAAGTGGGAGAACAAGGCCACCCCTTTCTGGGAGAAGGATGATGGGGCTATAGCAACTCTGGCAACTCAGAACCACAAGCAACTCTCTCGTTTTCCATTCTGTCTCCCTCGGGTCAGCTGACAGTTCATGGAACTGGGTAGCTAAAGCAAGCCAAGGCCTGTTTTTTTGTAATGGTTGTTTTGTTTTATTTTGTTTTAACTTTATTTTTATTGTTGAGACTATTAGGTTGTTTTCTTATCCTACCCATGTCACCTCTCTTCTTCCCCCCTCTTTCTCACTTCCTTATATTTTACCAACAGGGTCTGCATTGTTGATTTATTTGTTTCATTCAGCCCCACTCCTACTGTTACCATACACATGTCACTCTTCACTGAGCAGTTACTGTGTTCTGGATCTTCCCTCACCACAATGCTGTGAGCTAGAGACTAGGAGTAGCCCTCTTTGTAAACTAGGAAAAGGAGGCACAGCGAGGTTAAGTACTTGCCAATATCAAACAGAAGTAGGCTTTGAAGCTTGGATCAATGCAAGTCCCGGGTTTGAGTGTGAGTTAGAGTGAAAACACATGAAGCACAGGCCCCCTTTCACCTTTAGGAACGCTTTCTTATCTGTGTCCATCTCTTGGCATTGGTGGCATTATTGGATATATTGTCAGGGCTTCCACGAGAACACAAAAACTTTGGGGAGATCCCACTGGAGTGTGGGATCTGAGGGGAATGTTTTAGCTTGTGTCAAACCTGAAGCTTCTCAGAACCTAACTCAGTCTGATTTTCAGACAGCAGCAGCTCCCCCAGGCATAGAAAGGGGCAGAACCTATTTCCACACCTTTCCTCATGTCCCTTCTGTTGTGTGGGCCACAGACTGCCGCCACAGATCCAATCTAGAAGAACTTCTGAGCTGCCTCCCCATCTGCTCAGGGTCCAGCATAAAGGGGCTGTCAGTAGGGGACACAGAGCCACCCATGACAGCAACCAGGACCATTGTCCACTCTGCCCCACCCCACTCCACCTTCTCAAACCCACACTGCATGCCTCACACTGAAAGGGAAGAAATGTCCTCACTGTGCTGCCCTGTGGGTTACACTCTCCTGCTCAGTCACCCTGCAAGAGGGCGGCAGAATTCCTTCTGAGTCACCAATAGGCTAAACCACAAAACCTAAGACAACCACCAACCATAGCATTCGTTTGTCCTGGTATTTCCCCAGTTCCCACTGTACTGGTTCAGCGTGCCGGCCATCCTGAAGGGCTGGATGGACAGGGTGCTGTGCCAGGGGTTTGCCTTTGACCTCCCAGGATTCTATGATGCCGGGTTTCTCAAGGTATGTGCTGGGATAAGAATCACTATGGACTGAGGGAGGGATAGGGTGCATCTCATCCAGTTATATTTCTAGTTTACTTTTTTAAAAACCAATATTGACTGAGCACCAACTATAGGCAAAGAAAGCTCAGCACTGCACGTGGGTGAATAAAAGCATTGTTTCTGAAGCCTTGGAGCTTTTTCTCTCTAGGGAGGGGCACAGACACAGCCACAGGGCTCTCTCTTTATGGCTGTGAGGGCCTGAAGCTTTTGCTGGGAGGGTGGTGTGTTGCGAGAGAAATTAGTGGGCTGGGTGCACACGAGTGGGAGTAGGGATCTTGCTTACCGCTGAATGGGTATGTTCAGAAGACCCCACAGGCGAATGTGATGTGGTAAAAATCTTTACTAGCATGGAGTTACATTCCTTGGGTTGTAAAGTCCGATGCCCCTTAACCCAGTCCTGAAAAGGGGGCAGCTGAGGTTCCAGCAGATCCAAAAGCAAAGCCAGGGTCCCAAGTGTCTGTCCATGTTGCAGCTGTGTCCAGTTCAGCGTCAGTTAATTTAGATTCCATTAGCTTATAGTTTGGGTTCCACATGGCCGTGAGCCATGTAGGTGCAAGAGTAGTGTGTGTATCCCCTTCCTATAGCAAAAGCAGGAATTTTATGCCTATATCCCCTTCCTATAGCAAAAGCATACACTTAAATTGCACTTATCAAAGAAAGAAAATAAACCAACTTGAATAAATTTTTTCTCAGAGAGTAAGGAAAATATCTTTTTTACTGCGATATCACCAGAGTATTTACAGGAGAGCTTTATACATTAGAGAAATGTTTGTTGATTGATTCCCTGCAACAGGAGGGCCAGGAGCCCAGTGCGTCAGGCAGAGAACTGAGAGAGCATGCATCTTTGTGCAAATGTTTAACTATTCAGGTTTCATGCCCTCACAGTGACCCCACTCATTCTGGCCAATTACCTCTTCCCAGGTGTGACTGACAGATAAGATCTTCTCATGTCATCCAGACTTTACTGGGCATGCATCCTGTGTCCAATCCCTTCCCCGATCAGTCAGCCAGGAACAGACGTGGATAATGTTAAGTTCTCAAAGCTGTATACATGGCATGCCTCTATTCTCTAGTCTTCCCTTCACTCCTTCCTGTTAAATAACAATCAGATTATAACATAGTGAGCCACGTGGTGCGCAGCACTGACTTCCAGAGGGCTAGTGGCTCTGCTCCCCTCACAGTTGGTCTCTCAGAGCTTCCCAGGGAAGCTGGTACATACCCACCACGTGGCAGCTATGAATTTCTTACTAAAATTCATGATGATTAAAATTCTAAAAGCTTCAGAAAATAGTACATATAAGGAAAACACTAAGTCACAAAGACCCGGCTTGGACCAGAGTGATGCTAACATTTGTTGAGTGGTGCCATGTGTGGGCATGGCCTGGCCTCCTTCAGCCCCCAACCTCCCAGCCCCCCAGGTCTGCACCTGCCTTGCACACTTCTCACCTGCAGCACTGAACCCCCCTTCTGCCAGGAGTGAGGAGACCAGACTGTTCCCCCTGATTGCTTCCTCCCTGCCTCCCATTGGGGACAGCTGTCCCTATAGCTGGCCTTCCTGGAAGTGGGAGTGTTATATTGTCCCTTCCCAGATGCCCCTCCTGGTCATTGTAGAGCTCTGTGCTGGAGTCACAGTGACATTTATTTGTCTCCTCCTCTGAGGTTCACATGACTCATGTGCTTTCTCTTCCGCAGGGTAAGCTGGCCCTCCTTTCCCTAACCACGGGCAGCCCGGCCGAGATGTACATGAGGACTGGCGTCAGTGGAGATTTTAAATACTTCTTGTGGCCCCTTCAGGTAGCCATCGCACTGCACCCACCCCTTTCCCACAGCTTCCCAGGTGCAAAGTGAGATGGCACTGAAGCCTGAAACCCAGATCACTTTGACTCCATCTGGATACAGGAAATTAGGACATTTTACTCTTTTTAAATTTTTGGCTTAGCAGCACTGAACAGGTTGGCAATAGGGCCAACACAAATTATAATGGCAGGCTGCAATATTGCTTGGGTGGAAGCTAGCAGAAGCCTGGTTAGCTGGGGTCTGCTCTGCAGATAACAGGATTGCCCTGGCGGGTGGAGGTGGGAACCTGGGCAGGTACTGAGCCCACAGAGCTATAGAGTCCCCAGGCCTGGCTGCTTGCTTGAAGGCAGCATCGCCCTCCAACCCTGGTGATAGGTGTCGGGGCCTGGCATTCCTGACAGCCTCGCACCCCCCACAGAGGAGGTCCTTGGAGCCCCTCACACAGGTCCCCAGGATTCAGGCCTACTGTGTGCGCACCCCTGGGCCCAAGGGCCCCGGGGATGGTTGTCTGCAAAGGGGAAAGCTGTGGGCATGGCAGGTTCAAGCAGGTTGAGGGGAGGAGCAGAGAACTGCCAAGAGACTCTGTAACTGACATGGCTGTTATAGGGGTGGGGATTATCACATATTTAAAAGTTTTTGAGCTCACTTTTAAAATGTGATGGTGAGAGATGAGGAAGACTAGACAGATGGGTTCTGAGCCTTGTCCCAAAGCAGAAAGAGAGAGCAGCTGAGAGTCACGCTGGGAGTGTTTATTAGCAAGCTAAGAGACAGGCGAACTCCAGGAGAAAAGGGGGTCTGCTGATCAGGGAAGCACCCACTGTGGGGCTGGGTCCCTTCCCAGAGCTACCTATGGGCTTGGACGAGAAAATCTCGCCATTTTTATAGGAAGAATGAAACTTGCCAGAGGCCTGAACACCCACAGCGGCAGCAACCGCAGAGCAACTGTGAGCCCCAGAACGCTGGTCCCAGGCAGCACAAATACTTGGACTCAAAGGAGCACTCCACCAAATGGTGAAAAGGTCAGATTTCGCAGATAGGGAGAGAGAGAACTACATAATCAGATATGCTGAGAAGAGAGATCATGGGGAGACAAAGAAACAGCCCGCATATGAAAGGAAAGCAGGCATCACCAGAAAAGGAAGTAAATGAGTTAGAGGCAAGCAACCTACCAGAGCAAGAATTCAGAATAATGATCATAAGATGGCTAAAAAGAATGGAAGACAAATTTGACAATATGAGTAAGAACCAAGAGGAAATGAAGAAACAAGCATAAATGAAAAATGACATCGCTACTGTAAAGAATTCAGTAGAAAGTATCAAGAGTAGACTAGAAGAAGCAGAAGACTGCATCAGTGAGCTAGGAGACAAGATGGAAAAAAATACCCAATTAGAACAGCTTCTGGGGAAAAAAAAATTAAAAAGCAGGAGGAGAGCCTAAGAAAACTTTGAGAAAATACAAAACAAAACAATATTAGAATAATAGGGATTCCAGAAGGAAAGGAAACTGAGGAAGGCATAGAAAATTTGTTTGAAGAAATAATGACAGAAAACTTTCCTGAGATAGAGAAGAAAAAACCCATACAAATCCAAGAAGCTAGCAGAGTCCCAAGCAAAATGAATTCCAAAAGACTGATGCCAAGGCATATTATAATTAAGTTGGCAAATACCAACGACAAAGTAAGAATCTTAAAAGCAGCCAGAGAGAGACAGAAAGTTACATATAAAGGAACCCCCATCTGACTAGCAACTGATTTCCCAACAGAAACTCATCAGGCCAGAAGGGAATGGGATGAAATATACAAAGTCATGCAAAGGAAGGGTCTGAATCCAAGAATACTGTACCCGGCAAGGCTATCAATCAAAATTAAAGGTGAAATCAGGAGCTTCACAGACAAAAAAAGATGAAAGGAATTTATCACCACCAAACCAACAATGTAAGAAATGCTAAATCTACTGAAAAAATAAAGAAATAGGAAGTGAAGAAGGAACATAAGGGTAAAGAATAAAAATGGCGTCAAATAAGAATCTATCAATAATAACTTTAAATGTAAATGGATTAAATGCTCCAATCAAAAGATATAGGGTAACAGACTGGATAAGAAACAAGACCCATATATCTGTTGCTTACAAGAAACCCACTTCAGAAAAAAAGACGTACACAGACTGAGGGTGAAGGGATGGGAAAAGGTTTTCCAGGCGAAAGAAAATGAAAAAAAAAAAAAAAAAAAAAAGCTGGGGTAGCAATACTTATATCTGACAAATTAGATCTCAAAGTGAAGGACATAACAAGAGATAATGAAGGCCACTTCATAATACTAAAGGGAGCAATATAACAAGAAGAAATAACCCTGGTAAACTTATATACACCCAATACGGGAGCACCCAAATACATTAAAAAAAAAAAACTGCTGGAGGACATTAAGGGAGAGATTAATAGCAATACAATCATAGTAGAAGATTTTAATACCCCACTGTCACCTTTGGACAAATCATCTAAACAAAAAATCAGCAAAGAAATATCAACCCTAAATGACTCATTAGACCAGAAGGAATTAATCAATATCTTCAGAACATTCCACCCCAAAGCCATAGAATATACATTCTTCTCAAGTGCACATGGGTCATTTTCAAACATAGACCACATGTTGGGACATAGGCAAAGTCTCTTCAAATTCAAGAAGATAGAAATCATATCAAGCATCTTCTCAGATCATAGTGGCATAAAACTGGAAATTAACTACAATAAAAATAATCCATAGAAGTCAAACAAATGGAGACTAAACAGCATGCTATTAAATAAGGACTGGGTTACCAGAGAAATCAAGGAAGAAATTAAAAACATCCTGGCAACAAATAGCAATGAAAACACAACAATCCAAAATCTATGAAACACAGCAAAAGCAGTTTTAAGAGGAAAGTTCATATCTCTACAAGCCTATTGCAAAAAATAAGAAAAAAAGGTAACAAATTATCTAACTCTACAACTCAAAGAGTTAGAAAATGAGCAACAAGAAAAGCCCAGTGTAAGCAGGAGGAAGGAAATAATAAAAATCATAGTGGAGATAAATGACATAGAGACCAAAGAAACAATACATAAGATCAACAAAACCAAGAGCTGGTTCTTTGTTTTGTTTTTTGTTTTTTGTTTTTTGTTTTTAAAAACAGGCTTTTATTAGATTTTTTATTGTAACTTAAAATTGGAAGCCCTAATACTTTTTTTTAAAATATATTTTATTGATTTTGTACAGAGAGGAAGGGAGAGAGATAGATAGTTAGAAACATCGATGAGAAAGAGTTATCAATCAGCTGCCTCTTGCACACCCCCTACTGGGGATATGCCCACAACCAAGGTACATGCCCTTGACCGGAATCAAACCCGGGACCCTTCAGTCCCCAAGCCGACGCTCTATCTATTGGGCCAAACCGGTCTCGGCAAGAGCTGGTTCTTTGAAAGGATAAACAAGATTGATGGACTTCTAGCCAGGCTAACCAAGAAACAAAGAGAGAGGACCCAAATAAACAAAATCAGAAACGAAAAAGGTGAAATAACAACAAACCCCTCCGAAATAGAAAGGATTGTTACAAAATACTACGAACAACTCTATTTTGACAAACTGGACAAACTGGAGGAAATGGACATATTCCTAGAAAAATACAACCTTCCAAAACTCAATCTTGAAGAATCTAAAAATCTCAATAGACTAGTGTCTTGGGAAGAAATTGAAACAGTCATCAAAAAACTTCCAGCAAACAAAAGCCCAGAGCCAGATGGCTTCACAGGAGAATTTTACCAAACATTCAAGGAAGAACTAAAACCTATTCTCCTCAGACTTTTCCAAAAAATTCAAAAGGAAGGAACACTTCCAAACTCCTTCTATGAAGCCAACATCACCCTAATACCAAAACCAGATAAAGACAACTCAATGAAAGAGAATTAAAGGCCAATATCCCTCATGAACATAGATGCCAAAATCCTCAACAAAATTCTAGCAAATTGGCTCCAGCAGAACATCACAAAGATCATACACCATGACCAAGTAGGATTTATTCCAGGAATGCAAGGATGGTACAATATCCGCAAATCAATAAATGTGATACATCACATAAACAAATGGAAAGATAAAAATCATATAGTCATATCAATTGATACAGAAAAAGCATTTGATAAAATCCAACACCCTTTCCTGATAAAAACTCTCAACAAGATGGGAGTACAATGATCATACCTCAACATAATAAAAGCTATATATGATAAACCCACAGCCAATGTCATACTCAATGGGCAAAAACTAAAACCATTCCCTCTGAGAACAGGAACAAGACAGGGATGCCCACTGTCACCACTCCTTTAAAAAAAAAATAATATATATATATATATTTTACTCTTCCTTTTAGAGAGGAAGAGAGAGGGATAGAGAGTTAGAAACATCGATGAGAGAGAATCATCCATCAGCTGCCTCTTGCACACACACACACACACACACACACACACACACACACACGGGGATATGCCTGGAACCAAGGCACATGCCCTTGACCGGAATCGAACCCAGAACCCCTTAGTCCGCAGGCTAAAGCTCTATCCACTGAGCCAAACCAGTTTCGGCACCACTCCTTTTTGACATAGTACTGGAAGTATTAGCCATTGCAATTATACAAAAAGAGGAAATAAAAGGCATCCAAATTGGAAAAGAAGAAGTAAAGTTATCCTTATTTGCAGATGACATGATATTGTACATAAAAAAACCAAAACACTCCATCAAAAAACTAATAGACTTAATAAATTAATTTGGTAATGTAGCAGGATACAAAATTAACACCAAGAAATCTATGGCATTTCTGTACACCAATAGTGAACTTACAGAAACAGAGACTAAAAAAGCAATCCCATTTATCATCACACCAAAAAAATTAAGATACCTAGGAATAAACTTAACTAAGGAGGTAAAAGACCTATACACGGAAAACTACACGACACTGAGAAAAGAGATTGAGGAAGATGTAAACAGATGGAAGAACATACCATGTTCATGGATTGGTAGAATCAACATCATCAAAATGTCCATACTTCCCAAAGCAATCTATAGGTTCAATGCACTCTCCATTAAAATACCAATGGCATATTTCACTGACTTAGAAAGAACTCTCCAAAAATTTATTTGGAACAATGAAAAGACCCCAAATAGCCACAGAAATCCTGAGAAAGAGAAGTAAAGTAGAAGGGATCTCAATACCAGATTTCAAGCTGTATTACAAAGCTACTGTTTTCAAAACAGCATGGTACTTGCACAAGAACAAACATATAGATCAATGGAATAGAATTGAGAACCCAGATATCAACCCAAATCACTATGCTCAATTAATATCTAACAAAGGAGGTACGAATATACAATGGAGTCAAGACAGTCTCTTCAATAAATGTTGTTGGGAACATTGGAAAGATACATGCAAAAGAATGAAACTAGATAACCAACTTACACCATACACAAAAATAAACTCAAAATGGATACAGGACTTAAACATCAGATGGGAAACCATAAAAATACTAGAGGCATCGACAGGCAGCAAAACCTCAGACATATGCCAAAAGAATTTCTTCACTGATACTGCCCCTAGGGCAATGGAAGCTAAAGAGAAAATAAACAAATGGGACTACATCAAAATAAAAAGCTTTTTTACAGCAAAACAAACCATCAACAAAACAACAAGAAAGCCCACTGTATGGGAGAACATATTTGCAAATGTTACCTCTGATAAATGTTTAATCTCCAACATCTACAGACAGCTTATACAACTAAATAAAAGGAAGATAAATGAGCCAATTAAAAAATGGGCAATTGACCTAAATAGAATCTTCTCAAAAAAAAAAACAGAAGGAAGACCAAGCGGTACATGAAAACATGCTCAAGTCACTAGTTATCCGAAAGATGCAAATCAAAACAACAATGAGGTACCATCTCACAGCTGTCAGAATGGCCAACATCAACAAATCAACAAATGACAAGTGTTGGCAAGGTTGCAGAGAAAAAGGAACCCTTGTACACTACTGGTGGGAATGCAGACTGGAGCAACTACTGTGGAGAACAGTGTGGAGCTTCCTCAAAAAACTGAAAATGGAACTCCCATTTGACCCAGTAATCCCACTCCTAGGAATATATTCCAAGAAACTAGAAACACCAATCAGAAAGGATATATGCACCCCTATGTTCATAGCAGCACAATCTACAATAGCTAGGATTTGAAAACACCCTAGGTGCCCGTCAGCAGATGATTGGATCAAAAAACCATGGTACATCTACACAATGGAATACTATGCTGCCATAAAAAGAAGGAATTCTCATCATTTGCAGCAACCTGGATGGAATTGGAGAACATCATGCTGAGTGAAATAAACCAATCCATGAAAGAAGAACACCACATTATCTCACTCATTTATGGATAATAAAGAACATTATAAACTGATGAACCAATAGATAGATATAGAGACAGTAAAGCAACAAGCAGACTGTCAAATTACAGCAGGGAAGGGTAGGGAGATATGGGGGAGATAATAGATCAACTGAATGACTTGTATGCATGCATATAAGTATAACCAATGGACACGAAACTCTGGGGAGGGAGGGTATATATGAAGGGGAGGGGGGTAATGGTAAGATATGTACACAGATAATAATTTAATTTAAAAAATGGTAAAACAAAAAAATGTGACGGTGATGTGTGGGCCTCTTGCCTCTCACCAACCCTGGTAGGGTAGGCCCAGACAGGATGTGGGCTTTAAAAGAAGGAATGCAGAGGAAGGGGAAGGGATGTTTCTAGGAAAGAAAAAGTTCTTCTTTGAGAGGAGATGATACAAGGATTCCACTTAGTGATGCTCTGAGAAGGAAATGATAATTTATAAGCCTTAACATCTTTCTTCAAGGCCAACTGGTCTCTCACGTGCTATTGTCCACACCTAATTCTTCTTTTGTTTTTTTTTAATCTTTATATTTTTTCACTTTGCAAAAGTGCATAACAGAAAAAAGTGAGACTATAAAATACAAAAACATAAAGTTAGTACACTTAATTTCACCTTAAAATTAATTATTTTTATAATCTATATTATTAAATTTATTATATATATTTTTCACATAAATGGTATACTATAAATGTTGCTTCAAACTTCTTATTGTTTTTATTTAATACATATCTTGAGAAACCTTCCAAGGTGGCATATTATAGCAAGAATAATCTCATTCTAGAATAATCTATCATATAAATAGATACTAATTTGCCTAGTCAATCAAAACTATAAAGTTCATGTCTGAGTCAGTAGCTAAGATCAATGATAGAATTTGGAACTTCTTATTGCCCAGAATTCTTCAACTCCCCGGTAACAGCATCCTAAGGTTATAGGGCACTTGGCTGTTTTCAGTTACCCAGGAGCATTCAAGGTTTTCCGTTGTGTTTTTGAAGTTTGATTTCATGCCCTCTCCCCCTTTAATTATCCGCCTGGATGCTGTGTGAGGGTGTGGCTTCCAATCAATGCTTCCTGTTCTCTGTGGCTGCAGCACGGCACCCTGCACTTCTGTGGGTTTAAGGTGCTCGCCCCCCAGATCAGCTTTGCTCCTGAGACGGCCTCAGAAGAGGAAAGAAAGAAGATGGTGGCATCCTGGACCCAGAGGCTGGAGAGCATCTGGAAGGAAGTGCCCATCCCCTGCACGGCCCCTTGGTACTTTGGGCAGTAACATCACGTGAGCAACACGCTAGGAGATGCAAGCGCATGGGAAGAGAAGATGCTGCAGTAATAAATCTCAATGACAACAAGTTCCCTGGATCTGTTCACTGAGGTGCGGGATGAGTTTCTTCAGGGGCTTATCCAGCCAGGTCTGGACTTTCTCTAATCAGAAGGTCCTATTGACTTCCATTCTAATACCATTTTTCACCCAGGCTTGCTTTCCTTTCTGATATCTGTCCCTCTCCCTATAGTCATTCTTCACGGGTAATGTTTTCAGATATTCCTTTTCACATTAAGCTGCATTTGTTAATTTGTGTTTGTCTTATTTCATAACTTAAGTTTCTATTTTTCTCATAGGAAACTTTAATTTTTCCATAGCTAGTGTTTTAGCGCTGTTTGGACATTTCTTTCATCTTCTTCTTTTAAAAGCTTGTATTATGACTATGAGCTTTACTTGAACAGCCATTTAAATTATATTTAAAATCACTGAGTGCTAATTACAATGAAAATTTCCAAACAGTAGTCTTGTGGCTGCTTATCATGATGCATGTGTTCATGAAACACCACTAATAATCCACCCCCCCCCCCAGGAGGCAGGGGGAGATGGAGGTATCTCCACAAAAACAGTTATAGAGATTCAGTCTCCTCCTCCTGCTTCTGATCTTCATCACCATCATCATCATCACCTCTGAGAACAAAGCCTCTGCTTGTGGGCAGAACCCTTCCTTGTTGCCAGCACCCCTGCAGGCCCCTCACGTGGGACTCCGCCTGCACTCCTCACTGGATCCTCCTCATCAAACACCACCTTGTTGGCATCCTCAGCTTCCAACAACTGTTCACCTGCATTCTCTTCCTCAGCATTTTCAGACCCTCTCCATCTGCATTTTCTCTCTACTCTTCTCCATCTAATGCATCATCCAATATGTTTTCATATTCATGTTCTTCCTTTGCATCTGGATCTTCACACTCGGTGCTTTTCTCCTCATTCTCTCAGACCCATTATCCTCAGACTCTAAAATTTCAGGGTCATTTCTCCTAACTTTTCAACACCATTTTCTTCTAATTATTTTTTGGAGCCATCTTTTCCAGAGCAGCCTTCAGGTTCTCTTTCCAAGACACCTTCCTCAGACCTTTTTGGGGCCACACTCCTGTTCAGTTTCTTTTTCTCCTTCAGACCTTTTGCAAAGCCTTTCTTGTCACCATTTTTTGTTTTGTTTTGTTTTTGTTTGTTTAATCCTCACCTGAGGATATGTCTTTTTAAGTTGATTTTTTGAGAGAGAGAAAAAGAGAGAGAAACATCAATGTGGAAGAGAATTTTGATTGTTTACCTTCCATATGTGCCCTGAGCAGGAACCAAATCCACAACCTGTTGATGCATGGGATAATGCTCCAACCAACTAAGGAGCCCAGCCAGGCTCCTAATTATCTTTTTAAGTATAGTTTTATTTATTTCAGAGAGGAAAGAAGAGGGAGAGAGAGAGAAGCATCAATGATGGGAAAAAATCATTGATCGGCTGCCTCCTACACACCCCCTACTGGAGATTGAGCCTGCAACCCAGACATAAAACTCAAACATCAATTTTCATTATCAATAAAAAGTTTGAATTTTTAAAAAAGGATGCTAGCGTGGCCAGCCAATCAATATTCTCTCTCATTGATGTTTCTATCCCTTTCCCTTTCTCTCAGAAATCAATAAAAATACATTAATTTTAAAAAGGATGCTACATCAAGCTATTTTATAATTTAAGTATTTCTATTTATAAAACTGCTTTGGAAGCTTAAGGCTTTAACCTAATCTATGGGCAAAGGACCTAAAATAGACACTTTTCCAAAGTAGACATACAGATGGCCAAGAGACATGAAAAAATGTTCAAGGTCAGTAATCACAAAAGAGTTGCAAACTAAAATGGCAATGAGGTATTATTACCTCATACCTGCCAGAATGGCTACCATCAATTAATCAACAAATGCTGTCGAGGATGTGGGGAAAAGGGAACCCTAGTGGGTATACAGACTGGTGCAGCCACTATGGAAAACAGTATGGAGTTTCCTCAAAAAAACAAAATTGGCCGAAACCAGTTTGGCTCAGTGGTAGTGTGTCAGTCTGTGGACTGAAGGGTCCCAGGTTCAGTTCCGGTCAAGGGCATGTACCTGGGCACATCCCCAGTAGGGGTGTGCAAGAGGCAGCTGGTCGATGTTTCTAATTGACGTTTCTAGCTCTCTATATCTCTCCCTTTCTCTCTGTAAAAAATCAATAAGATAGCCAAAACCGGTTTGGCTCAGTGGATAGAGCATCGGCCTGCGGACTGAAGGGTCCCGGGTTCAATTCCGGTCAGGGGCATGTACCTTGGTTGCGGGCATATCCCCAGTGGGGGACGTGCAAGAGACAGCTGATTGATGACTCTCTCTCATTGATGTTTCTAGCTCTCTATCTCTCTCCCTTCCTCTCTGTGAAAAATCAATAAAATATATTTTTAAAAATCAATAAAATATATTTTTAAAAAAGCAAATTTGGAACCACTATTTGGCCCAGTGATCCCACTTCTGGGAATATATCCTAGATCCCCAAAATGCCAATCAAAAAGAATATATGCATCCCTAGGTTCATAGCAGTGTTAGTTACAATAGCTAAGATCTGGAAACAGCCCACGAGTCCATCAGCAGATGAATGGTTAAAAAGCTGTGTTAAATTTACACACTGGAATACTATGGAGCTGTGAGAAAGAAGGATCCCTTACCCTTTGAGACAGCATGGATGGAAGCAACTAGGGTGCCTGTGATCAGAGTTCACATTCTCATTCTAAATGACAAGGAATGTCATGGCCATCCTCCAAGCAGTTTTTATTGCAGGAGTCACCAGCGGTCGTCCATAGCTGTCCCACACCAGTTCCTGTTTCTCCTGGTGGCCACACCCTGATTTTCCTTCGGGAATCATGCCCTTTGGTCAAGTGTGGTTTTCATAAGGGTCACACCTCCTCAGTACCAAAGAGTGGCACCTGACAGACTTGACCAATCTGTCTGGGGCCCCAGAAAATCCAAGCCAAGCAATGAGATGAAACTCAGGAACTCACTGGCCTCCTGGGAGATGAGGCTTCTTGCTTCTGCACTTAGAGCCGTGACTAAGTTGTTCATGGACCATGACATAGTGAGCACTGCCCCCCAAATGAAGCCAACCCTGAGAAAAGCTCATCTAAACTATATAAAGAGACAACTTCCTAATGACATTTTTCAACACCTGAACCCATCCTTGCTGAAGCTGGAGTTTTTTCTTTAGGTCTTTAGTCCTGCAAGGCAGTATATTGCTGTTGTTGTTTTTTTTTTTTTTTAATTTAATAAATCTTTATTGTTCAGATTATTACAGTTGTTCCTCCTCCCCTCCCCCCCCCCCCCGCCGTCCCCCCTCCCCCCTCCATAACTCCCCTCCTGACAAGTCTGGAGAATTAAAATAAATAAATAAAACCTCCTTGTCTTTGTTTACCTTGGTGATTGTTTTTTGTTTGTTTGTTTGTTTTGTTTTGTTTTAAATCTGATAAGTCACCAACTGGTAAGTGGCCAGCGTGAGTCAACACCTTCCCAAAATATTGATTCTAATCACCTAGCTTGACCTCTTCTGAAGTGAAGCCGCTTTCTGTGAGCCAGGGGCACTATGTGCGCATGCCTGCGGAGAAGTGGGTGGGCCTCCAGGGCCTCTGGACCTGAGCCCACAGTTTGACTCACTCCCAAGGGCTGGAGCTGAACCAGGACAGCCAGGCTGTGCGTATGCTGCCCTCTGGTGGTAGGTCCTGGTAGTAAAACTCGGTTCAGGGTTTAAGGGACTCCCATGTCCTCCTCTGCACACATGGGTACCTCCCAACTGCACTCCCAGACCATTTCTAAACACCTAGCCCAGAAGGTAAGCACATTTTTTCTTTAAATGCGAATCAGAACAATGGCTAAAGTTTATAGAGTTCTCAGTCAGTGCCATGCACTGTGCTGCATAATTCACTGAAGTGTGTCGTTAATCTTCACAAGAAGTGTCCCAATTATGTCCCAATTAATTATCTATATAGACAAACGCAGGTGACCAGGATTCAGCAATAACGGCTTATCCCCGGGTACTTTAATGTCTAGACAGCTGAGCCTAACCGGAACACATGAACACACTAGACAGAAGTAGTATGCAATCACACAAGGTTTATTTACCTATTCCTAAACGGTCCTAGGCTCCAGCAAAGGCCACCCGGTGATACACACTGAAAAACGGATGAAGAAGATGGAGACAGACAGGTTGCCACAGCTGGTTCAGGCTCACACAGCAGAGCAGTCAGTCAGGGGCTCCTTTCATGGAGCAATATGGAGTCCTCCTTTTATCAGGCAGGAGATGTCGACTGAAGAAGGTCCGGTGCTTATATAGCTGGTAGTAAACAACTTGTATCTTTATTATGTATGCCTTATGCTAGGAGCAGGGCGTTCACCAATTTGGAAGTTACAGAGTATTGGGGTGTTCACACAGCAAACATTTCACACAATAATTATTTCATCCATTAGAGGGGTTTCCTTATGACCATAATATTATTATAACAAGAAGGCTATGAAGTACATGTCCTGAGTGGTATTCCTGTAGGTAGATGAATGGGGGAGTGCCCCCTATTGGTCACCCAATCACACAAAGCCACTCCATCAACACATGGAGGCAGCCAAAATGAGGAGACACAGAAGCATGTCACGAATAGGAGAGATGGAGGAAAGTAAACTATTGGACAACACAAAGTTCAGAATCACATTTATAAGGTTACTCAAGAATCTTCTAAAAACCTTTGAGAAACTTAATGAGACCTCCAAGAAGCTTGGTGAGACTACAAGGACCTTAATGAGAATACAAAAAATAAATAAATAAATAAAAATGGAAATGGACCAGCCAGAAATTAAGCATACACAGTCTGAAATAAAGAATATACAGAAACAACTATAGATCAACGTGCCTCAAAAATCAAACCAAAGATCTAGAATATAAGGAAGCAAAAATCATCT